ATTAATGACATAAATTGGTAAAAATTAAATTAAATTGGCTATAAATGCTGTTGTATAACACTACAATATTAATACGAATAAACTCAAACTACAAACCAACTTAAATTACAAATTTATTGAAGTTTGGAGACAATTTAAAATGTCTTTATTCAGAAACAGATCTGACGCGACGGTAGGGGAGGGGGGAACAACTTTTCTTCTTAATAAATGAAAACTATGTAAGAGTTGTTTACACTTAAATTAAAAATATTTAACAAAGTGAAAACCAGAGCAGGACTACAGAGAGAGATGATTTAGATTTTTATTTCTGACTGTAACGACCCACAGGAGACATGACATTAACAGCAGTCGTCAGCAGCTCCTTTAATTCCACAGCTGACCTGCTAAAAATGACAGATTTTCTTTCTGGATCTCGGAGAGCAGGATTTCAATCTCCGAACTCGTAAAGTTCTTTCTTTTACTTTGGAGATGTCATTTATGAATGAACACTTCCTGGTATGTGGGGCAGGAAACATATCCTTATATGGTATTTTTGGAGTGATAATTATGCTAATCACCTCTCCTCGTGCACGAGCAGCTGATACACATTCATCAGTTTACACTGTTCATTTACACCCTTTTCCTGAAGATAGAAGAGTTTGTTGAATCTGACGTGGCATGTTCGTACGAACCCTTCGTACGAACAAAAGTAAAAGAAGTTTAGGATAAGAATCAAACATGTACTTGCATGAGGCCCATTGTTTAATAATTTAAAATATTTTCCACAGTTACAGTTGTTTTTTTCAAGAATCTGTGGTGATCCTGGTTTCAGACACCAACACTGTCTGCCTCAGTTTGAAAATGTTCTGCTTCTGTTTCTGCTTCAAATACAAATGGTTGTTGTTGGATTTCGGCCTCCAAGCAGGGTACTGGTTCTCACTGTCACCTCCCAGCAGGAAGGTCACAGATTCAAACCTCAGCCATGTGGAGTTATGTGTTCACTCTGTGTCTGTGTGGCTGTTTTACTCCACAATTCAAAAACATGCAGGTTTAGATTGAGTAGAAATTTGAAATTGATCTCAATCAGATAGCAGAATAACATGAAACATTAGCAAAACAGTTCAGTATGAATGGTTTTATGGTCAGCATCAACAGGGACCTCATGTTCAAAAGATTTTCTCAGCTACTCCCACACCAATTTTTAGTGCAATATCTGTAAAATTCATTATGTTCTAGCTGTTCTTCATTCGGGTGTGGTGCACATTTTGATTTTAATCAGTTTCAGACGTACAACTATTTACTTTTTTTCTGCAACTTTCATCAATGCATGAATCCAGTGGTCCAGCTACTCCTTTTGGGGTCTGGGCCCCAAAGAAAACAAAGCTGCTTTTATAATGTGTCACGACTCTAGACAGTGATATACAGACAACGTAGAATCCATAAATAGAGGTTCCTCCCAGTCTAGCTGCTCTTAGTGCTTGATGAATGTCATCTAATGTGTTCCACAAAACAGTCCTAGTTAGGTAGCAGTGACGTGCCGCGCCCGTTAGCTAATATGCAAATTGCTGCTTTTCTTATGCATCAGCCATTAGTGAGTCTGCCAACACAACTGAAGCAATCTGTGCACGTGTTTGGAAGTGCTGTTAATACTGTTGGCCCTAATACTCAGCTTTATGTAACTATCTACATGATGAAAGGTGCTGCAATATCACTGTAACACTTGTTTGAGAAAATTTTTAAAAATTATCAACAGGAGCTAATTTAAAAAAGAATCTAGCATTTCTTAAGGGACTGTATATCACCCACTACCTTTTGTGCCAGAGTTTTACACTAAAGTCATCTTATGATGGTCAATCCTTGTAAATCATGTCATCTAATGCGATACTGTGAGACAGTGGCGTCACTAGGCCTATTTTAGGGGGGCTGGAGCCCCCCTAAATATTTTAAAGCCCCTCTATATTTTGGTGTAAAAATTGTTTTTACAAAAATTCAATATGATGTGGTCAGAATAAATAACCATTTAATATTTCATTATTAACTAAAATAAATTATCATAAATCTGTCAGTTTCCCTTTAATTTATAGATAAGGTAGAGATCCTCTTTGGTGCGTCGTTATCCAATCCATTCCATTTGTTCATATAGAGTACTCCCCCACCACATGAAATCCAGTCCACGTTTTTCCTGCAACCTTAATAGCAGCATGCTAGCAGGTTTACACACAGAGCCAGCAAAGTACAGCATGAAGGCTCAGTGAGCAGACCAGGAGAATGCTCAGTAAAAAGTGGATATACGAACGTTTTTCTAAACAGTAAGTATTAATCATCACTGCTGGTAGTAACCATAAACATAAAGAGTAGATGGACGGACCGCTAATGCTGCTGTCGAGCCACGGGGCCGCCATCTTGGAAAAGTCGTTTGCTCACTGAAGTATCAGCCTATTTAATCAATCATAACTCGCTGAAAACTAAACTGTTATACACTTTTTTTTGCACTGGAAACCCCAAACCTACAGCTACCTACATGTTTAAGAAGAATACATAGTTCAACTTATTTAAATATTCTTAGAAGAATTAACTGTAATTAACTATCCAAATATATTATTAAATACATGATGATGAAATAATGATTATACAATATAAATT